AAGCGCTCGCCCACAGAACAAGAAATCGCCATGGAGTTTGCAGGCCTCTCGATGGTGAAACATTCCTTCAGCGGCTTTGACATCTTCGCCCCCATCCCCGGCAGCACGGCGACAAACAACTCGCGGCGACAATACAACGCCTATCAGTATCATCTGAAGCAGCCGGAGGGTGACTTCGGCGATGCACGTGGGATGACCTTCATCCAGTGGCTGCGAATCTACCAGTTGCCCTCAGACACTCGAGACGGCGTCACAGTCCAACTTCGGAATCAACATGGACCGGCGAAAGGCAAGCCGTGCGGCGTCGCCATGTCCTTTCCATTTGAATTGTTGGACATATATCTCGGCGCTTGGGCCGCATGCTGTTTGCATGGCATGTTGGAGGAGCGGCTTCTGCCCGTCGTGCCGGACGCACTCCACATCCCCGGCTTTGAAGACGAGCTCGCGCGGCGTCGATCCTTCACAGGTCCCTGCATGTGTCAGCATCTTAAGGCGGTCCTGTCATTGAATGAATTTCAGTTGGATGGAGCTGATCCTCGGGTTTACAATCCAGATCTCCAACGATTCTTCGCAAGGATCGACCCCGAGCTCATGCTGCGCGGCATCAATGCAGATCGCATCTCTACCTTCAAGGCCAAGATTCAGGCCACGAATCTACTTCTCCTGCACATTCGAGATGGGCGCGAAGATCCGGGATTCTGGACTGCGCGAGATCTGCCTGGGTATCCTCGCCGTCAGTGGTCGCCCGAGCAAAGCGCCGTAATGGACTGGATGCGAGACCGCCTGGGTGTCAACGACGCCAGCGACGGCCGCAACCGCGTGCTGCAGATCTCCGGACCTCCCGGCACAGGCAAAACCGAGGTCGTCATCGGCGCAACAAAGCTCGCTTTGGACGACGACTGTCGGGTCTTGGTTGCTGGACCGATCGGTCTCCTGGTGGCCATGTACCGCCTCAAGCTCCCAGCAGATGAACGGCTGACCATGGAGACCATCCACTCCGCCTTCAAGATTACGCGGCCGGCAGATGCAGCCTACATCCCACCAGGTCGGCTACGTCGCTATGACGTTATCATCTTCGATGAAGTGTCTCAGATCGACGCAGCAGTCTGGGCCGATCTCAAAGCAGCACTCGGCGAACTTCATCCCGGCCCGCTAGTTCTCTTTGTAGGTGATTTCCAACAGCTGCAGCCTGTCACCGGCAAACCGCAGCTCCAGATCGACCTGGACACGGAGGTCGCCAACGGCACGGTGGATCGCATTGACTTGAAAAACCACAACCTGGCCAGGTCCATCGATCCCGACATGCTCGAGTTCCTGACGACAGTGAGAGAGACACAACCAACCAGGGCACAGCTAGAAGACTTCTT